ACGGCCGAAACCGGGCGGGCGGAGAGCCCGAGAGGAAGGAGGCGACGGTGGAAGCCTGAAGGCGGAGGCTAGGGTTTGGATTTGGAAATTGGGGAAATCCCTGTCCTCACTCATATATCAAACAAAAAATAATATTTACATTTTATAAAATAAAATAAAAAATCAGCTCCTCAATAAATCCGCCATTTTTATACCTCAGACGAGCAATTTTCTCTCTCCAGCGTCGACCATGAAAATTTCTCGAAACTGCTTTATAATCAGATTCTGAGCTCTTCCTCTTACTCAAATTCAAATCCCTGTTCGCCAGCGGTTTGTATTCGAGCTCACCAGTTATGGTCTCAATCGAAGATTCTCTCTCCCGCTCCGGCTCCCACTCCCACTCCAATCCCAACATCACCAGTTCATACTCCCAAACGCGGCCTTACTACTACTACACTCCACCGCCGTCCTCCGCCAGAATCAGCCGATCGATGGGGCGGTCCATGCGCACGGTGCGGTCCAACATCTTCGGCGCTCACGACTCCGGCCCCATCGTTGAGAAGTCGCCCAATGTCTCTGAGAACCTTACCGACTCGGTCATCGACCTCCGCCTCGGCGAGCTCGCCAGCAAATCGTCTCGCAACTCGAAGAGCCCCTCGTCCTCCGACCTCGACGGTATACTCGACATCTCCACCGCCTTCAGCGACTTCTCCGCCTGCTCGAGCGACATATCCGGCGAGCTCCAGCGCCTGGCCAATCTCCCCGTTCCCGGCCCGAGCGAGGTTGCAAGCTCGGTGCCCGAGATCGAGCCTTGTGCCGGGTTCCTGCAGAGGGAGACGTTCTCCACGGAGATAATCGAAATCATCTCGCCGGAGGACCTCCAGCCTACGGTAAAGCTCTGCGTCGACGGCCTTCAATCCCCGTCGGTCGCCGTTAAAAGGTCCGCTGCGGCCAAGCTGCGCCTGCTGGCCAAAAACCGGGCAGACAACCGGGCCCTAATCGGAGAATCCGGCGCCGTCCCCGCCCTCATCCCTCTCCTCCGCTGCTCGGACCCCATGACCCAGGAGCACGCAGTCACAGCCCTCCTTAACCTCTCCCTCCACGAGGGCAACAAGAGCGTGATTACAAACGCCGGCGGCATCAAATCCCTTATCTACGTTCTGAAAACGGGCACCGAGACCTCCAAGCAGAATGCGGCTTGTGCTCTGCTCAGCCTTGCCCTGGTCGAGGAGTACAAGCTCTCGATTGGAGCTTCTGGCGCCATACCCCCGCTCGTGGCCCTACTGATAAACGGGTCCAACAGAGGCAAAAAGGATGCCCTCACGACCCTCTACAAGTTGTGCTCCGTGAATTTAAACAAGGAAAGGGCGGTTAGTGCTGGGGCTGTTCGGCCACTTGTGGGGCTAGTGGGGGAGCAGGGAACGGGGTTGGCAGAGAAGGCCATGGTGGTTCTGAGTAGTCTGGCGGGAATTGAGATGGGGCGGGAGGCCGTAGTAGAGGAGGGTGGGATTGTGGCCTTAGTGGAGGCAATCGAGGATGGCAGTGAGAAGGGGAAGGAGTTTGCGGTTTTGACTCTGTTGCAGTTGTGTGCAGAGAGCGTGACAAACAGGGGATTGTTCATCAGGGAAGGCGGGATTCCTCCGTTGGTGGCTTTGTCCCAAACGGGGACAGCTAAAGCTAAGCATAAGGTTATTTTTTCAAATATTGTGTGTGATTGCTCCTCTCGTTTGATATTTAATTGAACTAGGTGTATGCGTTTTTTGATGCATCTTGTGAGGGAATGCGGGAATGCCTTCTTTGATTTCAGTTATAGGATTGACTTGGTTTCTATGTTTAAATTGGGTTAGGATCAGGCATTTGTAATTTTTGAATTGGGGTCTCCGATGATTTTGCTTGGCTGAACTTATAATATTTTATAGTTCTGTTGGTGATTGATTCTTGTAGAACATGTTGGTTGGATTCATGTGCCGATTGCGTTGTTTTCTAGTAATAACTTGTGAAAATATGCTGCTAAAGTATGTTCGTAACTGAAATTGGTTTGAGCAAATGAGAGCATAGCTCATCCTGCAAGTTGCAAGAGGTTCTTGAATCACGGTGATGATATGTAAGCTTAGAGCACCACAGTTTTGTTATCTCGATAGTCTGTATCATGCTGTCTATATTATTGGTGTTGTCCTCTTCATTCAGAGGTGGATACTGGTGTATTATTTGTTTCGTTACACGACATTGGGCATATAGAACAGTATGAATAAATTGAGAAGCAAAATTTAATGCTTTATTTAGAGTAATAAATAATAATACTGTGTTGTTTTCGTGTTGTTTTTATCATGGTGGACTACCATATTCTGCTTTTATCTTCTTTCTCCGCGGTTAATATGGTTCAACCTTTTGAAAAGTTCTCTTTTAATTTCATTTTGGTGACATGTTCTTCTATTTAATATATATATATTTTTTTTTTCTGAGTTTTCATGGCATGTTCTCAATGTATATTATTTCTTCAATTTTGTCAGGCTGAAAGGCTTCTTGGCTACTTGAGAGAATCAAGAGGGGAAGCTTCTTCTTCGAGCCCATAAAGAAGGTAACACGAGATGGCTCGTCATTATATCATGTTTTTGGATGTCCTGCTGTTGGCTGTATGTAGAAAATATTGGGTATTTTGTACAGTGTCTCTGAGTAAATCAAGCGTTACTAGTATTTCAGAAAAAAAAAAAAAGAACACTTGAAAAGTATTTAGAAGATCTTCTAGCTAGTAAAAGAAGGTGACCTATTATTAGTTGTGGTTTGGTTGAATGATTTTTCATTTAAGAAGTTATTAAATCCCCGGTTTTTACTACTGCTACTGCTGTTTGTATCTATTCAGAATTTGGATTTTTCATCCTCGGTTTATTTGTGGTGAAGTCCAAAATCTTGTAAGGTTTTGCTATTTGTTTGATTCAGACTATGTATAAGGAAAATTAGAATGAGGTGCTTTGCAGGTTGGTTTGTAATAAGATTGTCTATACTATCTTGTGTATCTTTTTTGCTTTTCTCATCATGTTTTTTTGTTCTCAATTTATTCTTCTTTTTACGTTTTTCGCGTCTTCTTGAAGTCATGAAACTCGACGCATGGTTTTTTGTTTCAACTGAATGATAGCATCCTTAAGACGGACTCTTTTAGCTGAACAACTTGCAAGGCAGAGGTCCATCTTACATAGTGTGAATTTAATGAAGCTTCAAATTCACACCCTAAGGAACAATTTGTCTTAATCCTGGCATTATGTACTTTTCTTTTCATTATTATTCATTTTGAGTTAGCAGTGATGTTGAGTAAGATTAAAACTCAAGCATGGGAGTTGGAGGCTAAGGATTGTTTGGTGTGGATAAAAAGCTAATTCAGACATTACTGTTTGTCATGAAGGATTAAGGATGACAAAAAAATGATGTGGGTTTAGTGTGTAAACTAAAAACCTACACCAGATAAGATAAACCAGTTTAGTTTAGTAAATTCTGGATTTCCTTTTGAAACATTTTTTTTTTTTTTTTT